TTCTTTCTTTCTTTCTTTCTTTCTTTCTTTCTTTCTTTCTTTCTTTCCCCATCTTTAATGTATTCAATTTACTTTGTTCTTCTAATGTACCCAAGCCACATAATTAAGTGAGCAAAAACATTCATTTGCACGCATGTTTTTGCATGTTTCAGAAATATTCATTCTACACCATAAACTACACACTGTTCACAACTGCACTGCTTAAAATGTCAGTGCACAAAAGCAGTACACATCTGTACTGCTTAAAATCTTAAAACATCGGTATAAATTTAAAACTTCAACATCATTATTTAGCAACATTTTCTCAGTCAACTCTTGGTTTTTTTTTTTTTTTGAGGTTTAATTCTTGATCTTCGTCTAGCCCTATACCCGAGCCCTATTCTAATCCAGTTATTTTGATAAATGTGTTTAGATGGAGCTTTAGAGTTTATCTAGAGAGTTTACTTTGTATCTTTTAAGTAACTGAACAATATACTATTATGGGACTTGATTTTTTAATCAGAAATATATAAAAATCACTTGCAACACTGATGGGAGCAAATATGAATGAAGAAACTGAAAAGTCATATATATGATAAAATTTTTATTTTTATTTATTTATTTATTTGATTTGTCAATCGCTTACAAGATAATAGATATAAGTATAAACATAAGTTTATAGGAAATAGGTACGAATAAATGGGGACAATAGGACAGGGACGGTAGGTACAATGGTGCACTTATACATATCTCTAATCAGGACAATTAGAATGATAGCTTATAGCATTCTGAATTTTCAACTACTTCCACTTTTTTCATCCCTGTTCCTCACAAGCCTTCAAAGTTGTTTATTATATTTTTTAAATAGTATCAAGCTATAAAGACCTAGACAATCAGAAACCTTTTTAATAAAAGAAGCCCTCCTCCTTTCAATGGTGCAGAGTTTTCCTCTCTCCAGACAAAGCCCATCACCTCTAGCCAGTTTAGAATTATGGGAGCTATTCTTTAGAAAATCAGGGTCGGGGGAGGGGAGGCTGAATACAGTATTTTAAATATGTACAAAATATTCTACAATTTCCTTGCAAGAGTTTTACGTAAGAGTTTGCATTATTTTTGATTTAACTCAGAAAAATGTCCTTAATTTACAACTCTTTAAAGCAGTTGCATCTTCTCCTGGGATTCCAAGGCACCTGCTAGAAGAGCCTGAGAAAAACAATGATGCATCGAGACTCTTCTGTATATTAAAACACCTTTTCACAATGAAGTCTGAAGCACTTCAAAGTCCACATGAACCAACAGCTTCCATCCATGCTGCTTTTTTGGAAGAGGGGAGGTGTGCAGAGTCTTCTTTTATGCATGTTCAGTTGTCACCACAAAATATTATCTTTTTTTCTTCATTGTGAAGAAACACACCCAGTCCCTAAATGAACTCTGCCTTCTGTAAAGGAAGCTTCCTTTTTGCGCCAAGTTCCAATGTATTACATGCCTGAGGACATTTGTGCTGTGAGATTGTTAAACAAGAATGAGGAGTGGCAATAAAAACAAAATAATGACTTTCAAACATCAGGTGTAACTTAGTTGTGATCCCCTTGATGGAAATGACAGAAGCATATTTTATCTCAGCGTAAATCATTTGTGATCTCATGTGCGCAATTCTCACCAATTCTTCTTCCCTCTTGTACAGGGGTGGGCTTCAAAAATTTTAGCAAAGATGCTCTACCTGGTTGCTGGGTGGATGTGGCCATGGCAGGCATGGCCTAGTCGGCCTCCTGCACCATAGCGGGGGGTGTTTTTGCCCTCCCCGGGCTCCAGAGGCTTTCCTCAAGCCTCCGGGAGAGCAAAAACTGCCCCTGGACTCCAGAGGCTCTCTGGAAGCTGGAAAGAGGCCCATTTCCAGCCTTCCCGAACCTCCAGGAAGCCTGTTTTTCACCCTCTGTGAGCCTCTGTGTGCACCCTGTACTTACCTGCATCCAAAACAGCCGTGTGGGGACTCCTGGGAGGGGAGGCATATGCGGGGCCAGCCAAGAGTGGGATTTGGAGGTTCTCCAAACTGCACAGAGTGTTAACTAGGGGCTCTCCCAAACCCCTGCAACCCCCAGCAGCCCATTTTTGCTCTTGTAGCAGGCCCAGCACTTCACCCACTGAAGTTTATGGGACTCCCAGAATAATATAACAATGATTTTTATATAAGTGGCATGTGAAAATCTGAGATTTCTCACCTTCCATAAATAGAAGGACTTTATACTAGCACAAAAACTTAATCTATTATGGTAAGTTTAGAGGATATACCATGCAAGGAACCAGGGAAGAAAATTATATCTCTTAAAGAAGAACAAATAGAACCAAGGAATTATTATTAAATACTGTAATGGTATGTACCTTGAGAGACAGGGAAGACCTGCAGGCAGGAGAACAGTTGGCTAAGAGGCAGCTTAGTCTGCAAAAGGAATGTGGACATGACAAACATCTCAGAAAGGATCCTCCCGAGTTTTTGTAAAAATGTATTAGTATCACATAAATATGTAAAGGATCTACATGCCATTCATGTGAATCCGTGCATACAGTGGATCCATTTAAGAATTAGTCATATAGATTACTGACAAAGGGGATATGGAAGTTCAAAACAAAGGTTCAGTTCTTCAAATTGTAGGCATGAGCTAATATAATTAGATTCTTTTTAATATGGTGGTGAAAGTGATGGTATTGGGGCTTATGACAGTATCTACAGTATGTAGAAGTAGCAGGGTGCGAAAACGTGCTTTCTGACGTGCTAATTTTATAGCTGATTTGGATGTGAAGGCGATTTGGCTGTGACATCTGTCACCCCATTGATCACCAGGGTTGACTCAGCTGATCTGGCTGGCTACACGGGTGTCTGCTTTCTCTCTTACCGTTCCATGTGTGTCCCTTTCTGAAGCTGCGTGCTTGGTGGAAGAGATGGCCATCTCAGACAGGAGTGTGCCGATATTCGGTCAAGGGTATAAGATAGCTGCACTCCCCTACTAGAACTTCCAAACAAGCTCATACTTGATTTATTGTAATGATTGATTGGTTGATACCTAGGAGATTTTTGGTCATGCATTTGATCATGTAAATCTGTATCTACAGTGTGACCCCGTTTTGAAAATCAGATCTAAAGTTTGAAATCTGAGTGGTGCAGTGGTCTGGAGATAAGGCTCTTGCCTCACAATCAGGAGGTCGTGAGTTCGATCCTAAGTAGAGGCAGATATTTCTCTCTGTGTACACAATGAGAATATATCTGCTGAATATAACTCCACATTGGCGACAGAAAGGGAATGCGGCCAGTAAACACTCAGCTCCATTCAGTTGCCCAGACTACACCCCACAAGGGATTATGGGGTCATTAAACAGAGATGATGATGATCTAAAGTTTGAAATCCATATCAATTTAACTGAGCTTAGTGGGACTTATTTATTGATTAACACTATTACTTAACATTATTCACACTTCGAATAATGTAAGTGATAGTGTCGCTGGCTTTGATATCTCCACCTAACACACCAAACTTGCTCTGCATTAAAGAACCTTGCACCCTATCTCTACTCCTCCTGTTTAAAATGTTTTTATGTTCATTTCTCTCTGCCTAGTCTCTTCTAATGCAATGATCCAGCAGTCACAGAATGAATTTGACAGCAGTGTGGAGAAAGCAGAAGATTGGATGAAGACCATCCAGGAGAGACTGCGGATCAATGATAATACTAAAGGGCCTCGGTCTGCCTTGGAGGCTAGACTCAGGGACACAGAGGTAAAAGAACCATCTTTGCAGATACAATATTTTTTATAGCTGTGATTATTATACGAAGGCATGTTCTGAAATCTTGCTTCCGTTGCCCCTCCTGACTCAGATGCACAATGGAGACACCAAAACAATGATGCCAATATGTATAGTGTGATACACACAGAGTGAAAAGAAACCATGCAAATTGCCTCTGGTTCCTTCTATTCAAAAGTACAGGTAGTGCTCAACTTACGACCACAATTGAGCCCCAGATTTCTGTTGTTAAGTGAGACATTTGTTAAGTGAATGTTGAATCTGGCTTCCCCATTGACTATGTTTGTCAGAAGGCTGCAAAAGGTGATCCTGGGACACTGCAATTCATCATAAATATGAGTTGGTTGCCAAGCATCCGAACTTTGAACATGTGACCATTTGGATGCTGTAATTGTCGTAAGTGTGAAACATAATCATAAGTAACTTTTTTCAGTGCCATTGTATACACGGTTATATAATCCCCTTTCAAATAGTCCACAATACATAAATAAGAATAAGACATATTAGAGATAAATAGAATTTGGCAAAAGTCTCCTATGTACTATACCAGTGGTGGCTAACCATTTTGGGCTTCTGTGCCAAAAATTGTGTGCGCGCTTGCACGCTTGCTTTGCTTGCCAGCACCCAGAAGGCAATGAGTGGCCCCCATGCCCCCTATGCATACATGTGCAATCCGCAATCCCCACCCACCCACCCACGCCACCCCCTTACCTGCACTGTGCCTCACAGTTGATTTTTGGCTGGTTTGAGGCCTTTTTCAGCCTCCCAGAGGCTTGAGGAAGCCTTCTGCAGGCTTTGCAGGCTGAAAACTAGCCCCGTTTTGTCACTTCTGGTATTTTTGGAAAAATAGGAAGTGATGAAACGGGGCTAGTTTTCAGCCTGCAAAGTGTGCAGAAGCCTTCCTCAAGTCTTTGGGAGGCTGAAAAAGGCCTCAGAGGCTTGAGGAAGGCTTCTGCAGGCTTTGCAGGCTGAAAACTAGCCCCGTTTCATCACTTCTGGTATTTTCGGAAAAACAGGAAGTGATGAAACGGGGCTAGTTTTCGGCCTGCAAAGCATGCAGAAGCCTTCCTCAAGTCTTTGGGAGGCTGAAAAAGGCCTAAAACCGGCTGAAAATCAGCTATGAGGCGTGTGCATGCGCAGTGAGGTAAGTTTGCCTGCAACTCACATGCCAGCACAAATGGCTGTGCATGCCACCTGTGGCATGCGTGCCATAGGTTCACCATCACGGTACTATATAATTCATTCTTCAAGTGGGCATTCTCCTGGAACTAATGTAGCATTCATCCATGCACAAGAGGAAAATGGGAATAAACTCAGGGAAACCTCATATCCGTTGTGCTATTATACCTTGCAATTAGCAACAGAAAAGTGCGGAAAAGATTGTGGGAAAGGAGTAAGAAAGTAAAAATCAAAAACGTAAGGCAGGAGGTAAGAAAAAGAAAACCCTACTAAAATTATTTTACAGCAACATTATCCACCAGTTCCCAGTGTCAACAAAGTAATAATTAAAAAAAAAGATCTTTAGCAGATAAAACATCTAAAGGCAGCACAATGTTTACCTGTCAACCACCAGAGTCCTATGAAAATCCGCTGAATGGCTTTAGAATGATAATTGATTGTTAGGAGTACAGGCTTGGTATTACAGAAATGCTGAAAATAAAGTTGCATCTGCTTTCAAGATCACAAAAGGAGTTCCAAAGGGGGGGAGAGAGCAGGGGGAGGAAAGAAAAAAGTCACTATTTCAAAATAAATAATCTTAGCAGTATCATCTAATCTGAATAGACTACACACACACACACACACACACAATTGCTTTCTTTGCCATACCCACATGCATCTATCCTAGCAGCAATTTGTCCCCTGTCCAGTATTTTTCATAGCAAAACGCACAAAATTGCACTATAAACAGGGGGGGGGGGGTGTCTAATTCTGCTTATATATCCTCCTTGCTAGAAGATTAATCTGCAGTTCATTAACTTAATTAAATCAACTGATGTGACTTTCAGTTAAAATGTATCCCTAATAACATAATCCTAACCCAGCTTTATTTATTTATGTATTTATAATATATACAAACACACACACACACAATTTATACTAAATTATGTCAGTTAAAATATCCCTGTGCATGAATTATTTTAAGGCATAGGATGGGAAGATTGAATTAACCCTGTTATGAGAAAGCCTCCCTTTTTTTTTAATAATAAAGTTTTATTTGGGTTTTCACACATACAAAATACAAGTAAAACATCTTTTTTGAAAATAGCATGGTCCCGGGTTGAACTTCTTTATATAGACACAAAACTCAATTTCATGCTCCTTTTTGTATTCTATTCCATATCTTATACTATTTTACATTTTCTATATAGTTGTTCCCCTCTCTTAATTTTCTCAATTTTATTTTGATTATTTCATCTCAATTCAAATCATTATATTTATACTTTTGTCTGTTCTGTTTCAATTTCATATTATCTTTTCTCATTAAACAGATTTTCTCCTGTAGTTACTAATTGGAGTATGACACCTTTATAACTTTTAATTACATCCATTCAACTCTTATTTAAACTTGAATATATACCTTAAGTTTATGACCTTCAATATAATACATAATACATAACTTCCAATTGAATTCTGCTTGGTACATTCTTATAATACACACTATATTCTTAAAAAAAAAGAAAGATTATAAATATATGTAATTATAAACCCTCATTCCAATCCAGTTCAGTTCTATCATTAATAATCATTAAAATCATAACATCTTTAACACTTCTTTTCAATTAAATATCATGCTTCCTTAAAAACACGTATAATCTCCATAATTAATTTTTCCCTTATTTCTCTTCACATGTTTTATAAATCATTAAATATACCTTTGTTACATTTATTTATTGACAAGCATTCTGCTGAATTACGATAGCTATTTTATCAGACATTTTAATCATACATTGTTTCATATTTTCTAAAATTATTTCTGCTTCTAATATAACCATACTATCTTATGTACCTTTGCAGAATCCCTTTTTCTATTAAGTTTTCACCCATTATCTCTAAATAGGCCCTGTTTCTCTATATTTTGCTTCTGTCCTTTATAACTTATTTTCCTTTCTTTCTTCCCTCTCATCTTCTCCCTCCCCTTTTTACCCCCTTGTCTCTCTAGTTCTAATTCTCTCTTCTTCATTTCCCTCTTCTGTTGCTTTCTGATTTTATACTTATTTTTCACTCTGGTTTTTTTGAGTTGTTTTTCCCAATCTTAAACTTTCCATTCTCTTTCCCCCCTTTCCTTTTCCCCCCAACTAATAACATAATCCTAACCCAGCTTTATTTATGTATTTATAATACAGACACACACAATTTATATTAAATTACGTCAGTTAAAATATCCCTGTGCATGAATTATTTTAAAGCATAGGATGGGAAGATTGAATTAACCCTGTTATGAGAAAGCCTTCCTTACCCATTTTCTTCCTTCCCATTTACTCACTTAGTGTATTTCCTTCTGTTTACTCTGAATGAAGCAACCATTACTCTATAGTCCGTAATTTTCCAGTGTTAAAAGAGTACAGATCTAGTTTTTTTTTCTTTTTAAGTATGTTTCTGCAAAAAGAAACCCACCCCCCATTAAAGAGTTTTAATTTCATGTTTTAATTTCTGTGTACAATTCTTCCTAATAGAAAATTTGTGCATTGGAACCTGAAGGCCGGTTGAAAATGGACCTGGTCCTAATGAAGGCTGATGCTCTGCTTCAGTGTATCAGTGAGGAGCAAAAGCATGAAATATTATCCAGGCTAAAGGATGTTAAAGCCATGTGGGAAGAAACAGCCATATACATTACTCATTGTCACAGGTAAGATTCCCAAATGCCCCCAATTAGGTCTCCCACCAATGGATTTTAAGAGTTTTCTGAGCAGAAAACTCTTAAGCCAGACAGAAAATGACAATTTTGTCCTCTTTTGTTACCACTTTTTGAAGATTCTGGTTGGTTTTCTAGTTTGGCCATGAAAAACGTATCTGCTGTAACTAGGTGAAGCTGGATGGGTAGCAATTAGTCATGGCAAATGAAATATAATCCTTAGAGATTTATCCAGAGATAATAACACAGCATAATAAATCAGTTTAGATCATTTTAAATGGTTCAAATACCTGCTTTCAGACACCCAAATCATGGGCCTAGATTCCCTTGAAAAAGAGATAAATATGACATAAAGAGAGCATTTGACGCCATGGCATCCTCCTAGTCTTCATTTAACAAATGGGGATGCCTGCCCCTTTTTGTATACCAATTCTATATGATGGAAGAAAGTAAAATAAATAAATTGTAATAATTGCAGTAGAATCAATATGATAAGAATACAAAGAACCACTGGTGCATTAGCCCAATCTTGACACTACCAGTATTTATAATATTGTAAACAAAAAAATGCTATTGAAGCAGGGATTTTGTAATTGGGGATGTAATAATTACACATAAACACAGCAAATAAAGTCATATGCTGACCTGGGGAGGATGTCTTGAAATTCCATATACAGCAACATCAATTAACAATGGTTGAGGCCACCAGAAGAGCAAGAACCAGAACGTTATAACTCCCTTGACACCTGAAGTGGTAAAAGAGGAGGAGGAATCTGGTACTTTATGAAATTAATTTGAATAAATGTTTGTGATTTCATAGACTATATTCTTATTTATTTTGTAATATGTTATATGTTTTATTATTAGCCACATTTCTGTAAGAATTTCAGGCAGTAAATTTCCCAGTACTACTGAGATACCAAGGAATAGTCCAAGGTTCTTCTCCATGCAAAACATGTAATCTCTTAGTTTGCTATGAATGTCTTTAACTTTGATAGGCACAGGAATAACAAGTTATATTTTCCCAATTCCAAAATTAAGGCCATCAGAAAGGAAAGAAGTAAACTGTAGCAAAGGAAGAAGATGCCCAAGAATTCTTCAAGGCTTCTTTGCACAGCATTATATCATGGATAATGTACGATTAAAACTAAGTTCATTCAGAACCTCTTTAAAAAGTTGAAAGAACAGTAATATGAAAGAAAAGTCTATATGCTGGAACTGGAAAGCAACCATCATGGCAGCATTTACATGGAACAGGTTGAGGGCTGTGGACTTGCCTTGACTGGCACTGGTTCATGGCATGGCAGCAACTGGTCCATGCAAATAAGTGAAGCCCCACCCATAGGATGCAGGCAGCATGCAAAACTATGTCCCCTCCAGTCTGCAGAAAAACCTTTCTCCATGGAACCAGTCCCTGGTGCCCCAAAGGTTGGGCGCCATTGCCTTAAATGAATGCCATATTTTGATTTTGGAATTTATTGGCAAGTACCATTTATATTTTGTAGACTAGTTTAGTGCCCTCTAGATACAAACTATCACCTGCTACTGGTCATACTATCCGAAGATGATATAATGATGTAGTACTGGTCATACTATCTAGAGGTGATTCTCTTTAATGTTGAAGAAGGAAGAATTAATGTGCTTGTCTTTTTTGTTCCAACAGCCGCATTGAGTGGGTGTGGTTGCATTGGAGTGAATACTTGAAGGCCCAGGATGAATTTTACACCTGGCTTCACAACATGAAGGTGACCTTGGAACCTGACATAGAGTTGCAGCTTGGCTTAAAGGAGAAGCAGTGGCAGCTTAGCCATGCTCAGGTCCTACTGAAAGATGTTCAGAATCGGTCATCTTTGCTGGATCGGCTACTAGAGGAAGCTATATCTCTCTATAACCGGATTGGAGATACAAGTGTTGATGAAGATGCCCGAGAAAAGATGAAGGAGGAATATGAAGAAATCAAGAACGAAGCAGAGGTGAGAAAAATTCAGAGTGAAGGCCAAATAGAAGAGCAAAACAGATGTTACAGTAGGTGTCCTCTGCTCCTGTCCCCTATATTTAATTTGCCTCACATCTGTACAGATCAGCAAATTCCCTTTTGTTTTGATCAGGAGTTGCAGATGTTGGCAGAGATCATATGATTTACCATGCTTCTCTTCAGCCCTGAAAGTTGAATAAGCCACAGTGCCCAGGTTCTCACATAATTTACAAATCATAGAGATTATACATTAAACTGAGCCACATAATTCAGTCAGTGGGTTGAGGCAGGCAAATTGATTACCAGCTTGGAGTAACATGCATTCTTCTATCCTACTATTAAAGAGTATTTTCACTGTTCCACCTCTATTCAGTTTTGTCAATTATATTACTGAAATATTTCCATATCTTTATTCTACCTCTGTTTTCATTCCGTCTTCAGCTATTTATAGCCTAAAAACTTGGGTGACCATTGATTATTACAATAATACTGTATAAATAATTACTGGAGACAGCCTCTCATTCTAACTTTAATTGGAATATCAATGCTATTTCAATATTTAGACACATTCTAAATTAGTAGAAAGCTTTTGCCCTAAGCCTTCCATTTGGAACAAGATCCAAATGAAAGACTTAGGGCAAAAGCTATATACTAATTTAGAAATACTTCATAGTATAGTTGGCAAAACTGAGAAGAATGGAGGCACAACAGTAAAAATATTCTTTATTAGAGTGGAAGAAAACCTTTTTTATTTACCACTTAATGAATGGGTGAGATTATTCATAGATGTGAGTAGAAAATTCTACCTCCACATTTCTCAAAGTTCAAGAACAGTTTAAACATTCTGCAGTATCTGAATACATAATGTCATGCTATTCTGAATCTCATTATTGGTTTGTCTCATCTGTTTATTTTCACATTTCAGAGTGAACCTAGACACAGGAATAATTTATATACTGCTCAGCCACTTGTTCATCCTTCCAAATAATTTCTAAAGCTTCCAAATCAAATTGGGATACCACAACTACCTTGGGTTTAATTTTAAACCTTCCCCCCAATCACATAATCCCTTAAATCTTTGAGTGATAGAGACATTTATATGAAATGTCTTTCATATTTTATATAATAGACATAATAAAGTTACTGCTACAACTCTGGCCCAAATATGAAAGCAAATAACGAGAAGAACCATTATTATCTGCATGTTTTGAAATGCACGCAATTAAGAAGAGGCAACCATGACCAGGAAAAAAAATATTCATTTGCTAACAAATTTATTTTTTGCCTAATTGTTTCATTGGTTACACTTGAAGAACAGTTACAGAACTTTACTCTTTGGTTTTTCAAGGTTCATATTGTACATTGTGATCCAAAGAACACAATGTGTTCCTGATGCACAAGGCACAAATCATTCTTTGTGATACATTACTTCAAATTTGTGGTTCATAATAACCTTTTCTGTAGAATACTCTTTGAGGTAGTTCCTTTGAAAAATATCATAGTTTCTATTCTAATGATTCATTGCATTTCCAAAGCATTCTGTTTTCAGTAATGATAATTGGTGTGAGAGACACCAAAATGTAGTTTCTTGGCTTTAAATTAACTTTACTAACATTTTATTTTTGTACTTAATTTTTTTTCCTGATTTTAAAAAGGTAAATAAATTATCCTTATAAACAAAAAGAAAGAAGGGAGAGGAAGGAGGAAAATGTTTGAAACAAATAAACAGAAAAAGAGCAAATCACAAGCAGTTTTTTTTTTCTGTTAAAATGTATACTGTGTTTTTTTTAACCAAACAGCCCTTTTTTTCTATTTGTACCAATTACAGTTTATATGTTTTACTTGTAAAGAAAAGCTTGATAGTATTGTAAATAATCATATACTCTTCTTACTTTGGTAAATAATTCCTTTTTCTTTTTGCTTTTCAACTCTGCCAATAGATGGTTAGTCTGTCACTTGCCAGGATCCTGCATTGTATAATAGGGTGATAATAGGGTGTCTGTGTGTGTGTGTGTGTGTGTGTGTGTGTGTGTGTGTGTGTATCTGTCTGTCTCTGTCCTCTCTGTGTGTCTCTGTTTGTGCGTGAACAATGTAATTGGTTGCCCATGTCTGAAGGTAAAAACAGACATAACTCTCTTCTCATGTTAGCAGTGCAAAATTGTAAACAGCTATTGCTATTTATTTGTTAGTTTGTTTGAATGTATGAGCCATTCCAAACTCTAGAGAGCTCTGTGAAATCCCTTCTTCAGGATTAGGACCTTTGTTGTGAGATGGAGTTCTCAACTGTTTTTTCTCCTGTCAATTGCAATGAAAGTGTCCTCTCCCCCCACCCCAAAAAATGCTCTGAGGTGGGAAGGGGGGAGCCATTCCTACCAGTGAAAGGCTCTCTCTCCAGAACCTAATAGCAGATTTTGGGAAGAGCATGTTTATCAAACACATGGCAGAACAAGTTTTATCCCTCTTTTATTCCTATTGCAGTCACAAGCCATTGGGGCATTCACAGGAGGGTGTCAAAAAAATCAAAATGGTGGCTTCACTTACACAATTGAGGCTGCCTTCTTGATTTTTTTTTTACATTTCCCATGAATACCCCTGTCTGCAGTTGCCCTCTGGTTGTAATACTATTATAAAGAGAAGAGAGTAATTCAGAAAAATCTCCCTCTGCTTGTAGTCTTGCTAATATTGAGGTCTGAATGGAACTCCCATATTCCAAGGCAGTATAGCTGAAAAACAATAGAGAAGAGGTATTGCCTTACTACCATAACTTGCTACTGTAGAAAACACGCTGCTGGGTATTTGGTAGATCCTTGATCTCATCCAGAAACCTTCTGTCATGCCCCTAGTGGAGACTGACTCTGAGGAAGAGGAGGAACAGCCAACAGGGAATGGGAGTGTGGCTCCAGAGGTGGTGGAGGAGGCTGGGGAAGGGCAGAGTCCAGCTGAGCAATCAGAAGAGGATCCAGGCCTATCCCCTATCCATCCTAGGGCACGCAGAGAGGAGAGGATCAGGGAAAAGCGAGGTCTACTTAGGAGGAGATTACCATGATCCTCCTTGTGGCTTGCAGGTGGGAGCTATGTATATAAGTTTGTAACTGCGTAGTCAGAATTGCTGGAGTCAAAGTTTAGTGTTTCCTTTGAAAGAGGTTTATCTTTGTTGGCGTTCTTCTCATGGACTCTCCCCGTTATCTTCCTGGAATGTATGATTAATTATCTTGTCTTGCTTCGGAACTCTCGTCAATGCAGTTTACTTTGGTTTCCTTTTGCTTTATTATTTACTTTTGTGACTTTAAACTGTGCCTAATAAAACAGTGACATTAAGTTGAGGGCATTACCGGACTTAAAAGTATGTTTGGGTTATGGGTTATTTTGAGAGACTACGGGTCATCACACCTTCTCTCTTGCCTTTAGCATAAAAATTATCCAGTTGATGAGTGTTCACTAACCATGGAACTTACACTCATACTGGTTTGCATATTTGCACTTTTGCCCTGAGGGAACTGCCTTTATAGTTTCCTTTATGTTTTCCCACAAAAAGGTAGTGGTAGGGGGAGGAATTAAAAAATGTGAATAACTCATATAGGCCCTCTAGTGGAAAATTACATTGAAAAACCCACATACATATTGAACTGTGTATTTGTTCTTAATGTTTTCTAGGTATATTTATTAATAATTATTATGTTTATGTTTATTTTCAATACAATATTTGAAATGCTGTAATTAATGAGAAGCTGGCTTGCTAAATCTTTCTTTCGGCACTATCTTTCCTTTCTTAAAAAAGAAATGAAAGTCTTTTTAAAATATTGTATTTACTTAAGTGCTAAATAATTACAGTTCACTTGGACCTGGGATATGTTAATTGTTTTAAATTCCTGAAAACAACCAAGTGACATATGAGGAGAAGGCTTCTTTGTTCTGTGAGTTTATTTTTCAAAAACTGTCTTTCCCTTTGGGATATTTCTCTTATTTCAGAGAAGAGTGATATTACTAGAAAAGATAACAACAGAGCACAAGCTATATAAGACCAATGTTGACCAGTTTCGGCTATGGCTGACTCAGCTAACAGAAAGATTAAACTGCTGCCTCAATCAAGAATCAAAGCTGCCAGCAGAAAATAGAATCAAAGCATTACAGGTATTTGATTGCTGAAGTTATTACTGTGAAGGTGTTGTTTTGCTAAAATGTTGGGGTTCTTTATTTTTATGCTGCCAGGAACCTCTGTGAAGGAACTTTTTTTAAAAAAACAAGATGACTTCATTTGTGCAGTTGTAACCAAAAATTTGACTTGTTTAATTTCCTTGAAACATGCCCATCATCTTCCCATGGGCAGGGACCTATGACTTACCAAAATCCTGCTCCTTGCCCTGTTTGTATTAACAGGGCATCAGTCAAAAAAGACCAGTTTTTTTCCCCTATCGAATGAAAAATAATTTTGTAGAAAATGATTTCTAAATGTAGATTTCAACAGACTTACTTTTATTTTTAAAGAATTGTGCTGTCTGTTTTTTGCATGCTGTTTTCAGTAGTTTTTAAAGTATTTTTATTTGTAGTTTTCTGAGCAGAAATTTAAAGCTCCTGCAACATCTTTCTGCTCTAGCAAAATCCAAAGTATGGTAATATCCACACTGATTATTACTAGAAATGTTTTGCAAAGCACTTTACATCCATATTAAAGAATAATTGTGTAACATGAAATACAAAATCAAATTTGAAATGATTTTTCATTTGTTCTTTTTAAAAATTGTTAAGATTTACTGCAGCCATGAGATCCAGTTTACTAGAATTTGGCGATTTTTACCTTGCCTTCAGAGGCTGAAACCCTATTACCATAAGATCAAAATATAGAACATTCTTTTTTTTAAATAAAGTTTTATTTGGGTTTTCACACACAAAATACAAGTAAAACATCAAACATTTTGAAAATAGCATGGTCCCGGGTTGAACTTCTTTATACAGACAGAAAACTCAATTTTATGTTCCTTTTTGTATTCTATTCCATATCTTATACTATTTAACATTTTCTATATAGTTTTTCCCCTCTTTTAATTTTCTCAATTTTATTTTGATTATCTCATCTCAATTCAAATCATTATATTTATACTTTTGTCTGTTCTGTTTCAATTATCTTTTCTCATTAAACAAATTTTCTCCTGTAGAGTATGACACCTTTATATCTTTTAATTACATCCATTCAACTCTTATTTAAACTTCAATATATCCCTTAAGTTTATGACCTTCAATATAATACATAATACATAACTTCCAATCGAATTCTGCTTGGCACATTCTTATAATATACACTATATTCTTTTAAAAAAAAAGAAAGATTGTAAATATATGTAATCATAAACCCTCATTCCATTCCAGTTCAGTTCTCTCATTAATAATCATTAAAATCTTAACATCTTTAACACTTCTTTTTAATTAAATATCATGCTTCCTTAAAAACACATATAATCTCCATAATTAATTTTTCCCTTATTTCTCTTCATATATGTTTTATAAATCATTAAATATACCTTTGTTACATTTATTTATTGACAAGCATTCTGCTGAATTACGATAGCTATTTTATCAGACATTTTAATCATACATTGTTTCATATTTTCTAAAATTATTTCTGCTTCTAATATTACCATACTATCTTATGTACCTTTGCAGAATCCTTTTTTACATTAAGTTTTCACCCATTATCTCTAAATAGGCCCTGTTTCTCTATATTTTGCTTCTGTCATTTATAACTTCTTTTCCTTTCTTTCTTCCCTCTCATCTTCTCCCTCCACTTTTTACCCCCTTGTCTCTCTACTTCTAATTCTCTCTTCTGCATTTCCCTCTTCTGTTGCTTTCTGATTTTATACTTATTTTTCACTCTATTTTTTTTGAGTTGTTTTTCCCAATCTTAAACTTTCCATTCTCTTTCTCCCCTTTCCTTTTTTCCCCCATCTAAGATTAATTGTTCATTAAAGATGGCTTCTTCTTTGTCGCAATCTTCTTGTTCTGCAGGCATTTCTTGTTGTTTCTCATAATTCCAAATCTCCATTTCTAAAAACTGAAATACGAAGCCAAAAGAACCTCTCCCTTCTTGTGCATCTTCTTTGTACTTTTAAGTTCCATTTTCAGTTCTTCTAAAAGTGGAGCCATTTTAAAAAGTTTTAAACAACCACCCGATTGATTTTAGTCATTCAAAACAATTACCAAGAATCCAGAAATCATCAAGTAATCCAGATAGTCCTGAGTTATATCTTCTTATTTCTTTTTCAACTTTCTCTTCCTGGGGTTTTTGTTGCAATATTTCAGTTAGAATTTATCTTTTGGAAGTCTTAATTCCAGGCAGTCTCCTCCCTTCCAGATCCTGCCCTTTTATTCTTCCTTTCTCCTTTCCTGTTTTCAAAAGCTTTAAATTATCCAGAAATCTTTATTATCCCTTTGACTTTTTATTTTCAGCATTAAATGCCTATTGATGTCAAAGTGGATTTTTTTCCCAATTTCTTGCTTAAGTCTCTTAGCTGTCAGTACAGGAAAAGGAAAAAACCACATCTTTTCGCTTTTCTCTCTCCTTCGCAGCTTAAAAATCTTCTTAGGGAACAATGTTATTGTTTTTTAACAGTTTCAGTTCCAGGGTACCTTATTTGTTGCTTTTTCTGTTTGACCTGGTCAACCAAAACTTTCTCTTCTTATCTTCCTCCTGCACATTCTTTTCCGGTGGAGTTCTTCTTAGTGGTGGCCATTTCTGACCACTGCTGCAACTGCCTTCAGGAAAGGGAGTAATGGCCAGCTGGGGAGGAGACATACGGCTCTCCTCAACCCTGCTGGCAGTCTCCCCCCTCTTCACCACCTCTACGGGGTGGCTTAGCCCCAAAACCAGCTGGCTTGGGGCGCTCCAGCGGTGAGCATGGATTGAAGTCTCGCAGAGATGAGATTTCAGTCTGTCGCTGAAGAAGCTCAAACCTGAAGTCCCAAAATATAGAACATTCTTGAACATCCCAATCTTATAAGAATTTTTGGAACTAGTCAGAAGCATACTTAGAATAAGTATTGTGAGCCATAAGTTGTTGGACAAAATGGTTTTTAAGAAACAGTTCATTCACTTTTTTATATGATACTTAATACAGAGTTCATTGTACAAATGAAAAGAAGAGGAGAAAACCAAACTACATGTTAGGGATGCTAACTCAGGAAAACTAGAAGCCAATATGGCTAGTGGGATTTGCAAGCTTAATATACACATGTGTGTTTTGTGTACACTGATGATAAACACATTTGTAGAACCATGTTTGGTGATCAGTCCAGTTCATGGATTATATGTGTTGAGTGGAATTATTGTGTATGTGGAAGGTCTACCCAAACTATGTTCGGTCAAAAATAAAGAATTATTGTTGCCAAATCCTAAGTGCTACTGAATTGCTAGCAGTCAGGGATTTTATTTATTTATTTATTTTATTTTGTCAAGCCATTATAAGATAACAGGTATTAGTATAAACATAGTTATGAATACATGAAATGGATACATATAAGAAAAATAAAAAGAAACAATAGGACAGGGACGGTAGGCACATTGGTGGTCTTATGCACGCCCCCTACAGACCTCTTAGGAAAGGGGTGAGGTCAATAGTAGACAGTCTAAGGTTAAAGTTTTTGGGGTTTGGAGAAGAAACCATAGAGTCAAGTAGAGTATTCCAGATATTGACCGCTCTGCTGCTGAAGTCGTATTTCCTGCAATCAAATTTGGTGCGGTTTATCTTGAGTTTGTATCTGTTGTGTACTCTTGTATTGTTATGGTTGAAGCTGAAGTATTCATTGACAGGTAGGACATTGCAATGTATAATTTTATGTACTATACTGAGATCAGACCAAAGGCATCATAGTTCTAGATTTTCTAGGTCTAGAATTTCAAGTCTGGTGGCATAAGATATTCTGCAACAAGTAGAGGAGTGGAGAACTCTTCTTGTGAAATATTTCTAGACTTTCTCCACTATATTAATATCAGATAGGTAATGCGGGTTCCAGACTGATGAGCTGTATTCAAGTATTGATCTAGAAAAAGTTTTGTATGCTCTAGTTAGTAATGTGATATTACCTAAGAAAAAGCTACACAGGATTAGGTTAACAACTCTTAATGCCTTTTTGGCTATGTAGTTACAGGGGCTCTAACACTTAGATCATTAGAGGTGAGTAATCCAAGGTCCTTTGCAGAGTTTGGATCATCAACAAGGACTTGACTATTCAGCTTGTATTTTATTTTCTGATTTTTTTGCCAATATGTAAGACAGAACATTTATTTGTTGAGATTTGAAGTTGCCATTTGTTTGACCATTCTGATACATAGCCAAGGTCTTTTTGAAAGGTAGCAGTATTGTCAGTGGTGTCGATGGTGTAGCCATCAGCGAAGAGAACGCAGTTGCTCTTAATATGATCAGAGAGGTCATTTATGTAGAGTATGAAGAGAGTAGGTCCTAGAACACTGCCTTGGGGGACACCACTGTTGACAGGTACAGAATTTGATAGGACGCTCCCAATTTTGACCATTTGTTATCTGTTTGGCAGGAATGCTTCTATCCAGTTATGCAGATGTTATTGCAGGATTTTATGTTATATTTTGTTTTGATGAATGAACCAAGCATTTAGAGATGCTCCATCTTTTGAAGATGATAGTACCGTACAAATATGTAACATCAGAAATGATCAGGCACACTGAACTGGTTAAGGAGAGAAGATGCACACCATTGTTCCCCAGCAGAGATGTGACATAAATCCAAGAACCACTGTTGCCTAATCCAGCCTGGGTCTGGTGGATTCATGGTTATGACATTCCTGGCATGATGCCCATTCAAAATAATTGGGGTGACTAGGCACAAAGCACGGTGGCCTTTTCTTGTGTTCATAGGCAGCAATGCATAGTGGATTTATGCTGTCTCAGTACTCATATTTTCTACATGTGAGATTGGAAATCACTTACTTTGCAACTCTCCTGCAGGACATTACAAAAGATGTAAGGAGTGGAGAAAAGAAATTGAAACATCTGGAAGCACAGTCTATAGATGTGATGCAAAACACCTCTCCCCTGGGGGCAGAAAAGATGAAGGCTGAGCTTGAGGAGCTGAAAAAACTCCTGGAGAATATAAAGCTAGTGAGTGTGGAGGAAGAGGAGAAACTGCTGAAGAGCCTTCAGTCTGAAAACACCTACCACACCCAGGCCAGGGTGCTTGAAACTGATGTTCAAGAATTCCGTAAAAGGCTGCAAAGATTAGGAAACCACTTTGAAAAGGACGATATTGTGAGAAGTGATGAGGATTTAATTTCACTATGGAGAGAATACCTGGTGAGCATTTACTGGTCAGTAACCAACTGGGAACAAAGGCAGATGGTCACATAATGAAATGAAAATAAAATTAAACCCTGCTCGTCTATTCAGATGTAAATACGTTAAAATAAATGGTTGAGACATCTTCATGGCCACATTTTAATGGGTCCCAATGAATTGTACCCTTATCCAGGATGTTCCATTTTATTGGAATAGACATTCTTTGTTCTATTCCCACTAAGAAACTGATATAATAAGGCAATCCTAGGTCTTTTTTCTTGTTTCCTAAATTTTGTATAAGTGTTGGTGGAAATTACTCAGCTAATTACCTGCAGCTAATTTATGAAATAATGAAAGGCATAATTTTTTGTTTCCTCTTAAACTTTCATCACAAGCTGATGAGTTTTCTTCAGTTTCAAGATGTTTTTAATCTTCTATGATTTTTATGAAGCATTGGGATGGGAGAACGGCCCCTGTAAGTTTGCTTTTATTGTGAAATGTTTAATTATGCTATGCTGTGGCTATGTTTTTATTTTTATAAGCTGTTTGTAGTTTGAATTTAATTGTAGATTTTATACAAGTTAAAAAAATAAACACAGCTATGTAAGTTAATATTTCTTGACAATAATTTTGTTTTTAAGGCAACAAAGGCAAGCCTCACAGCAGAAGAACCAAAGGCTGAGAAACTGAAGATTCAACTAAAGGAGTTGTTCAAATTTTCACAAGATTTGCAGCCTCTTTCTGAGAGTGTGATCCATGCCATACGAGAACATCAGAGGTATTTTGCTGAAGGAAGTGGCACAATAATCAGATAGCTCCAAAAATACATTTCAATGAAAGGACTGATATAGACAGCTTGTTTCAAAATTAAGAAATATAAATCTGAAAGGAGGCAATGGCTAATTACATCTCTTGACTTTCACTGGTCTTAAGGCTTATTTGAAATGAGATTTGTTTTTTTACCCCTTCTCAAAGCTCTAGGTGCCTTTTATATATTTCCTTCACTTCTTGCAATGGTTAGTCTCATAATAATACTGTGGAGACAGGCTGAAAGATAATAAGTTCACTCGTGGTTGGATGGGAATTTAAACCCAGATTCTTCAGTCCCAATATGGACATACCATTGTGGAACTCTGGGTAAAGTGTAGTTGGTTGCCATCCAGATTGGGATTTTTTCCCCACATCATAGGAAAGAGAGATTTGTAGAAGCCTGTCAAAGATCTCCCTGCCCTGGTGATAAGTTGCTCATTTTAAGTGTCTCTCAGTTTCCAGATGAAACATTATGAAATAACACCCATGTAATAAGTAGAATGTAGGCACCAAAATATGTGTATGAATGGAAAATAATGGGGTATTTTTCAGTGTAATTACTCCATAGTGATCCTGTCAGGGAGGGAATTTGGGCAGATGAAATATAAGGAATCCTGCGTCTGCTTTCAAAATACCCATCTCATCTAGCTGTTCAAATAAATGTCTTTTTCACATCTTCCTAAAAATTAAATCTGTTCCTTTATGATTACATTGCAGCTAAAATGTTCTAACTTTTTGGAAAAAGGCATATAATATGGTTTATGCTCTCATCTCATCTGATATCCACATTACTAGGATGAGCTTTCTGACTTTTCTTGGAAGATAGTGACATTGGTGTTTCAGGATGATCTGTGAACATACAAAAATGCCTTTTATGGAATCAGTCATCTACTGACTGGTAGTAACTCACCAGAATTTCAGATTAAAATTTTCTCAGTTCTGCCCATAGAGACCAGGTATTGAATCCAAGTTCTCTGCATCAGAAGCTGTATTGTAGCATTGTGACTTTTTCCTAATCATTTGATATAGAAAGAATGTCAATTTATTTCAGCTTTGAGATCTTACTCATGGGTTGATTTTCCTTACCAGTAGCTTTTGATTAGGAAAAACTATAGTTGTATAACTAACAGTTTCAAAAATTAAACTCTGCCCAACTAGAAAATTGGTTAGAAAACTAGTTAGAAAACTAGTTAGTACTAAGTCATCTTGAATAATCTTCTGATAAATATTAGAAATGCTTATTATAACTGCTTTTTGCACTGCTGTCTTGTTATGGATGATATAAGGGACAATGAGGAGAGAGGGAAGGAAAAAATCATTCTAGTTAACTTTGCATCCTATTTTCTCTCCTGCTTTTTGGCTGGACATGGGAGGATTCTTTGTGGAGCAAAATAATTGAACCACTGGCTCATGCTGTATAAGTCATTACCTTGTTGTGTGTTGTCTTGCATTTGTGTATATATGTTCATATTATCAGAGGTGTTTCATTACTTTCATGGAGCCAAGTGTTATGCAGGTAGCAACACTGATAAGAATGCTTTTTCTCCATGTGTTCTTTGCTGATTTTTTCCCATGCATGTTTTTCCAGCTAGACATATTCCCCACTTCTGCTTCTGACTTTACTAAAATATTTTTGCTTCCGTGCTAAGTACAGTCAGGAAATTATCTGCATAACCTTTTTTCAGATTTGGAAAAAGGGTTGTCAACAGCTGGTTAGGCACAGACAAATGTTTGCTTGTATCTAAAAACTGGCTTTCTTGTGACAAGCATAGACTGTTTTGACAAGCTATAAAGATTTTCTGTTTATGAAATTAGTTACTGGAGGAGAAACATTAATTCAGAGTTAAGGAAGCAAGCCTGGGATTCTTGCCAATGAGGAAAAGTAAGAATGGAAAGTTTGAACATTTGCCATTGTAGAGATGACAGATTGTTGGTATCATCTTCCAAAGAGGCATTGTTTCATCTGTAGGAAATGATAATCTCACTAATGATTATGAAGAGACAGAAGAAATAACGATGAAGGTTGTGATCAAAGGACTTGTGCTCTTCCAAAATTATGTTAAAACATAAACTGTCCTTACAGGAAAACTACTATCACAAGAGCATTATGGCATGCCAAGTGGAATAATCCCTTTTCTATTGTTTTGTTTAACTGAAAACAAAATATGTTTCCTAAGGAAATCTTCATGTTTATTTTCTAAAAACCTGTGTATTGGCCATTACTGCCTGCCAGGTCCCTTCAAGCTGGAGAATGAAATTAGAAATAAGCTGTGCCTCAAGGTTCTGAGCCAGAGACACAAGCAGGTTGGAATTTTCAGCAAGTAAAAACAAGTTTTTCTTTTTCAGTTAAGGGATAGAAGGAACCAGACACTTGCAGAGAGGATGAAATTAATTTTGTTCAGATTTAAATGTAAACCAGTATTTTTTGAACTAATACACAAACAGATTTTAACATGCCATTTGAGTTCACACAAAATACTGTTACCAGGTATACTCAGAACCAAACTGTAAATAACTTCTTAATACAAAATCACTACAGAATTTTAAACAGTAGCCAAAACTGTGCTTTTCAGAATTGAACCATATCCATAACTACATTTTCTAGGTATTTTGCACCACACAGATTCAGATATGGCTAGTTCATTTTAAAGAGAGTATTTTGACAGTACTACTAAAATTAGCTGGAGGAGAAGCCACAAAACATATCTGTTAAGTATGTCAAATCAGAGTGAACTTTCTGCTTCATGGTTGCCCTTTTTTAAGAGTAGAATGGGGAAATAAAAAGGTCTATCATCCCAACCTCTAAGTCCAATATTTTGTACATGCAGACAATATAATCTTTGGAAAGGGGGTATTCTACAATAAACACACTTAACCTTGTGACTGCACTTCTTGCTCCAGCTGCTAAGTTTTAACTTTGATCACATGCTTTATTGTGTAAACCTATCTCATTGGTGAGTGTATGATTCAATATTATTTGAGTAACCCACTAAATAACCTACTATTAAATTGGACTCCCTTGATACTTAGTGTTCATATTTCTTGTTAATTGTTATTTGTATATAAATTAGATAATGTTAATATTATGACTACATGGCTTAATTTAATTTAAAGCTAGATTTCAGTGGTGTATGTCTTGAATTGTAAATACCTTAAGCCATCTTTGTAATTAAGATAATATGAAGTCACACGAATAAATATCACCAAAAGCACTACGATCTTCATTGTTAAGGGAAAAATCCATCTTTTGGTAGATAATTTCCCCCTTTAGTGTCTCAGTTGTCTTTCTAGGCTTGTAATAAATGGTGGGCGTATGGATCTTAAGGTTGATCCTTAAGAGACTATTGGGGAATCCAAGTTGCACAGCTAGCTTCTTGTAATTCTCTGCAGCAGGTGCAAAGAAAATGCATCTGGGCATCTAAAAACAGTTTTGTGGATTATCTGATTGGCAAAGACAGCTGTGGAAAGAAGAAGCCAGGAAAATATAGGAAGCAGAAACAGAGCTGCTTTGTGTTAAGAAAGCATATTACATGGGCAGACTTTTCATCCCTTTTCATCCAACTTGGGGTTCACTTCTCCCTTCTTCAAAGGAAGAAATTAAATCCTTCTTCATAATTCATTAATAAAACTTCATAATTTTGTTAATTTATTTTTGCAGTCTGAAAGGAAAAATGTTTAAATTGAGCACAGAGATTGAAACAGAGTTGAGGCAGCGCTTCCAAAATTCCCTGAGGGAGTTTCAGCTGTGGAAACCATCAGCTCAGCGACTCCTGGACACCACAGTCCATGTTTCTGATCCTGCATTGACAGATGCATTCCTGCGTCAGATTGAGGTGATGACTTTATAACATTTGGAATTTTAAAATTCATTGTGTTCATAAACCAACACGTAAAACAACACAGTAATCTTGTAAGAATTTCAGACTATTCTGTATTACTATTGGAAACATTTTTAGCCTGTACAACAACCTTCACAATGTCATGTAAATTGTAAATTGTGAACATTCATATGCATCATTTTACTTCATCCTGGTCAAATAGTGAATATCAGTAAATATTTGAATACCAGCCTAATTTAACCTTCATCATAATCATTGGCAAGTTTAACAATTTGGCATTGTGCACTGGAATAAACAGTTAGAAAAAAAAGATAAAGATGTAGTCGTAATGCAAGATTCTGGAAATCAAACAACCCCTATTGGTATACTTTGTCTCTGTTGTATCCTTTATTTATTCATCTTTCTAGAGACTGAAGGCATGTGAGAAATATGTGTACATGTCATTGTCAATGTAAATATGTGCATAGGGATACAGTATATATAGACACAAGCATGGAGATATAATATACATACATACATACATACATACATACACATATACACAGTCCACTCATACACACTTGGGTATGTTCATATGTCTATCTCTCTCTCTCTCTCTCTCTCTCTCTGTGTGTGTCTTTCTGTACTTCACAAAAACATCATAGTGTATCTCTAACCTGGATCAGAACATATTAGAATAAAGCACAGTGGAAAAAGTTCAACATGCATTCACCCTAAATCTCCCTTTGCTGCTAAATGCTTAAAAAGTTAACTCTCACCTGTTAACAGTTGGAGCAAATCAATTCCTCTACTTTGTCCTCCTGCCCACTTTGAAATTTCTTTTTTATTTCTCCCTAACTTGAAAAGTCAATGTCCTGGAACCTCCTGGAACTCTGTGGATCCTCACGGGCTCACCAGGAAACCAGGATTTCCTTAGAATGTAGTTGGAAAACAGTTGTAGGAGATTATTTGAAGCCTGAATTCTGTGTCCGAGGCTCTGTTCTCTGGTTCATCTGAAAAAAGACAAGGCTTTTTTAAATAGCAGAACTATAGTTGTAAAATGCTCACTCCAGTTACATCCACTGATCTTCCCCTTTTCCCATTTTACAGGAGATTTGGGGACTTTCCTCAATGCCATCTATATAGTTTTGTGCAGTTTTATATCCTGGTATATTTATTCAGTTGTATGTTAAGATTGATTGCCATCAAATTGGTGCCAGTTGTTAGTGACTCCATAGGCTTTTCTTTCTTTCTTTTTTTTTACTTTTTTCTACTTTTATTTTTTAATAATTTTTATTGATCTCCAAAATTAAAATACAGAATAAAAAAAGATGTCAGCTACATATTAATCAGCCAAGCAAAAAACAATAATAAAATGTGTGTAGAATAACTATATCATTAATATTAATAACCAACATAAAATGTCCACTCTGATTGAAAGCTGAAACATATATCTCAAATATCTGATATGTCGTCCCCCCCTTGCATAACAAGTCTACAACTATTTCCCCATCTATAGTTTCTTACTAAAAATACTAGGTTACATAAAAGGATGTCACTGATCTGTTGTCCATCTATCAAGTCGATCCACCACCTATTCACTTAAAAGAGAAAGTTAACAGGTAACTCCAGAAACAAAAGTAACCTTCCAATCTCTTAAAAACTTGTCTAGTCCATTGTCTCTAATCAATGTGGTTAATATAGATATTACTTTCTAAACAGAATTTTGTCCACTATGATCTGTTCTTAACCTCTTCTTCAGATCTTCAAATGAGACACCCTCCATCATTGTAACTGATAGTATAAAAGATGTAACATATCTACCTTCCACTTTCCCGGCATGAGAGGCTTTTCCAGAGAAATAGTCTTTGCATAATACTTCAAAGAGTCTGGTCATTTGTGCTCAAGTGAAAATTCAGGGTTGATCCATTTATTTGTTTCCTTGGATGTCCATAATATCCTCCAAAAGTAATATTGAAAAGCATCAACACTCTTTCTGTCCTGCTTTTTCATAGTCCAACTTTCAGTTTCCATCTAGTGTTACAGGAAATATCATTACAGGGAATATCATTATCTAATATTTGTAGGTAAAGATACATTATGCTGATACATCTATATGTTGTTATGAATTACATGCTGATAAACTTATCAAATAGTATTTCTGAGTTGTTGTTGGGTTTTTTCATTATTCTAATTATTCCTGTTTGGGGAAAATATTTTCAAAGTAGGAAAATAAAAATGATTGGCAAAAATTCCTAATAATCAATTATTCTCTTCTGTAGATTTTTCTGGTTGAAAGCTCCCATCTTAAGGAACAACTCCTGAAAGTCCAGATGAAAAAAGATTTTCTGGGTAATATTTTTAAACAGGAGAGAGCACAGTTACTCTTGGAGGAGGTTAGTGATGCTACAAAGGAATTAGAAAACCTGCACAAAGGGCTACTCCAGAGGAAAAGCAGGTTACAGGTAAGCTTCTTCTAAAAAGTCAGCTGGTAAGAAAAATAATTGTGCAGTGCAGTGATCAATACACGACCAACTACAATGATAAAAACATTCAGTTTTTATTTCAGTCAGATTGTTATTTTCATTCTGATGTACTCACAGGTCTGTGTTGTGAGTTGGCAGAAAGCATTCATGCTCTCAGGACTGGCATGAAATCAGCTTTTTCTCTCTGGCTAGGCTTTGGTATCACAGCACAAAGACTTTGATGCATCCTTCAAGCTTCTGCAAACTCAGCTGTCTGCTCTCAGAGTCAAGCTAAATGCAGAAAAAGAACTGCTGCCAGATCTTGTGGGCAAAGAAGCCCGGTTGCAAAGACTAGAGGTAAGTGACGTCAAAAACCATCCAAAAGAATTCCTTTCCAAAATGTGTTATAACAGTCATAGCCAGCTATGGATGTGATGTGTGTCACACAAATGAAAGCCCCCAAGCTGTCATTTTTGGAGCATTAGATTAAAGCAGTGAGACTTGTACCTCCTTGATGTCTTTTCTTGGCTCATATGTCAGCCATTCAATTTCAATAATACATATTAAAATCTTGAAACTGTATGGCTGCAGTGTGAAAAAGGTGTGGTTCCGGTAAGGAGCCATCAACTGGTACAGGAACCATATCCATTTCTCTGCCACAACACTTTTTCCATTTCGGAACAAAATAGATGTACATCCCTAAATTCCCAGTGGCAAAGCTTACTTGGATATTCTTGAAGCAATCAGCCATTCTGTTTAATCTACCTCATAAGATTTATGAGTTTGTTGTGAAGCTTAAGGAAAAGAGGAACAGTGTAATTGGCAAAGGTGGGATGAAAAAGTAAGGCATACATTAAACAAATAAACATCTCCAAATTAAGTTTCATTTGCTAGTCCTCACCTGTGTTGCCATCTGTCTGGATGTTTCTGATCCTATCTTGACAGGTAAAGAACCAAGACCCTATAAAATGTGGAATCTTAAAATAAGTGTGTTAAACCAAACCAAAAAGTACACAAACCAATAGAGGAAAAGCATGATACAATTAAGATAGAATCTCCCCCACATTGCAAATTTATTCCAGTGGGTTATGTTGCAGAGTAGAGTCTAGCTGGTAGATAATTCATTTTTCTGCAGCTCCAGTTAAGAATATAGTTAGCAGGATTAGGACTTTTACTTGTAGATTATCCTCTGAATCTATCCCTTTGACATGCAACAATGTGTATTTTCAAGCAGGTTCTTTTGTTCTTTTAAGATGTTTTCAAGTATGCAATGATTCCTTGAACAGCATCCTGCATGGCAATTTACTCAAAATGTAATTTTATTCTACAGAGCATTCAAGGACACCTGGATGAATGTGCAATCCAAATGGAAGAACTAGAGAAATTTGTTCAGTCAGACCCAGCACAGATACATAAAATAAAACAGTGTTCTTCTGACTATCAAATACTTAAGAGATCATTGGAGGTAACTCATTTTGGTGAAGGATTCTCAAAAGATGGCAGCACTCAGCTAATCTTTTCTGGGCTCAGAAGCTAAGCAGAGTCAGGTCTTGTTAATACTTAAATGGGAGACATTCAGGGAATCCCAGACACCAAAGAAGACAATGACAAATCACTTACTGTTGCTAAGATGAATACATAAAAGGGTCCAAAAAACCAGCAGGAACTGAACTCAACTTGAAGCAGGTTTTTTCCTAACTTTTTCCTAAACTGCATGATTTTGCCCTGATACATGTCTATGGAGATTCTCAGTCATTCTTTCAAAAGGCAACTGGGACTTCCTTTGTTTTTCCTTGAAGACGTTTCATTCTCAACCAGTGCAGCAATTGTTGCATTGGTGCAACAACTGCTTCTCATGCTTGTTAGATGAGAGCCAAGCAGAAAAACATGTTCATCAGCCCATACAACCTGCATCTTTTCTTGTGGCTTATAATGGACCCTTATGATAGGGTTTCTACTCCTCTTGGGATTCCAAACATGCAGAAGAAAATGTGGGGTACGACCCCAATTTTCATGATAATAATAACAGTTCTTTGATAAACACAAGTAAGTAAAATGGTCCACCTCTATAGGCCCTTCCACCAATCATTATGGAGATGTTACCGTTATGGAGATGTTTCCTCCAGGTCTTTTAGTGGTTTTTCAGACATGCTCCAAATGGAGATGAATCGTGGGGCAAAGTCCAGGACCCCATTATTCAGGAGATAATGTTTGGGTAAATAATGGGTGGAATAAAATGGTTTTATTTATTGTATTTATTAAATTTTATGCCACCCATCTTACAATAAAGTGAATTCGGGCAGCTGGATTTATGCTAATCCTAATAATATTACTTAGACTTATATATAGCTCCACAGTGCTTTATAGCCCTCTCTAAGTGGCTAGTGATGAATCTTGTATTGGTATTTTCCATTATAATTCAGAAGGTAACTGTGATATTGGGAAGAAATGGGAGTCTATGTAGTAAATTTATGTTTATTACATGTTATGTAAAATTTTCTAGGTAAAATGATTGCTCTGTCTAATGATAGAGCAAAGCTTGGAGTATGTAATTTTATCAACATGATTGGTTCACTACCAAGAAGTTATTTAGTGATGGACGTTTAGTGATTGAAGTTGTTGCTATGTGATCTAAGCATTTCACTTGCAAATGATGAATAAATCAAGCTGCTTTTACCAAGTCAAGTTGCCTTTTGATAAAGCAAAGATGACGACTGCAGTCATTTGATTCTGAGTAATTAAAACAATGTAGAAGCACAGTGAAAATTAAGTATTAATATATTATTAGAAAAGCAATGTTTTCTTAGCTGCATTTCCTTTACATTAGAAAGAGATGCATAAGGCATTTTTATTTGTGGAGCACCACTCTGTGGCCAAATCCAGATTTGCAATTCTAGATTTTTTTTTGCTAATGAAGGTAAAATTGTGTTAAATATTCATTCACTTTAGCAGACTACTTCAGATTTTTTTTTAATTTAGTGAAATTCTTTTTCTTAATAAGAAAACAATTTATAAAATGAAGATAGAATATGAATCTGAAATTTATAAAATGTGCAGTACTGTCTTATGCATGCCTATGCGGATGGAAGTGGTATTAGGTTCAATAGAATGAGCTCCTAAGACAGGGGTGTCAAACACAGCCACACCCACTCTTGGTTTAGCGAAGGGGGGAGAGTTGCAAAATGTCATGTGACAACATGTTGTTGCAAGTTTGACACCACTGTCCTAAACACTGCAGCCTTCTATTAGTGATTGCCTTCACTTACTGCCCGCAAATGGAACTGGCACTCTTGCTAAGTGATGTGGATGTAAAGTGAAAAATTACATATCAGAGCTTGACTTATGAGAGTAGTTCCAGCTGTGATCATTAGCAAATCACCCACAGTTGTTAAATGTGATGTCACATGACCACAACTTGCAACTTTCTGCTGATTTCCTTATTCACATTGCTGATCAGAAGCCAGCTGTGAGGGTAATAAATAATAACCAGGTGATTGAAATGTAGCCCAATAACCAGGTAACCCTGCAACCATTGTAAATGCACACTGATTACCAAGTGCCCAAATAATACCCACATGATGGCAGAGATGCTGCAATGGCCACAACTTCAACCACCAAACATACTACAAGTCTTTTTTTTCAGTGCCATCACAACTTTGACCGATCGCTGAATGAGTGATTAGTAAACAAGGACTACCTGTGTTTTGATTTTGATAACTTACAGCAGGGCTGTCAAACTCCCAGGCCACGGGGTGGATATGTCATGCACTAGACATGCCCACACTCAGTTTAGCGAAAGGGGAAAAATCTTGAAACATCACGTGATGCTGCCGTGACACGAGTTTGACACCCCTGACTTATAGCATCCTTTAGAGTTGTTGAGCTGATAAAAAAACAGTCCTCATTAATGTCATCACAATCTGGCTGAATGATTCTAGAAGATGCTGTAAGCCACTGTTAAGATCCTGTCTTCTTCTTAGTATGTTCATTTTGGGTATGATAAAAAGGTATCTTTTGGAAGTTGAAAGGTTCTACACAATTTTTTTGATCCAAAGAAAGAAATCCCATGAGTTCCCCTATTTATGATGACTGGTCTTCCTATTGTTCTTTGCAGACCATGATTGCACAAAGTAAGCAACATATTCAGAAACACTGGGCTTTTAATGACAAATTATCAGATCTCCAACAGTGGCTTACCGTGACCAAACAGAAACTGGAATATTACTGTGATGCTACAACTCATAATGCAATTTTGGACTTGGAGGTAAAGAACATTTCTTCTCTTGTGAGATTATTAGCAAGCTTTCCAATGGGTAGAAATATGAGGATTTAGCTGAGGTTTACATTTCACCTACTGCCTTGGAATCAGCAAAATATTTGCAAGGTGCCATGTTACAGTTTTTCAGAAGTACTATTTATTTTGAATTACACTGTTTTTAAAGACCAAATGAACACTAAGAACAAGACATTTATATACATTCTGTATTATGGAAGTTGAATTAATATGTAGTTCATACAACAGTATAAAAATGGGATCTCCAGATTTAGAGACTATGCTCCTAAATGTCATTGCTCAGAAGCCATATTATTTGAAGTATGTTACTTTACATTTCTTCTTGGTTGATTTTTTGACATCACATCTGATATCACCAAGAAAAAAAATTTATTAAACTATTTATCAATGAAGGATACAATGATCTGTCAAAATTGTATATTCTAGCAGGCTGCCAAGGTACAAAAAGGTTACTCTTACTAGAAGCTTGAAATGATTACTTCCAAGATTGTTGAAACTTGGACCAAAAGCCACTTATGGCCTTAACATTGTTAATTCCTCATTACATATTTAAAGGGGGCCTTGGTCTGATTCAGAATAGTATTTCTACTGTTCTTAGACATAGATCCCTCGCATCCCAGACATAAACTGTTTCAACTCCTTCCCTCAAAATGACTCTGTAGAGCACTGCACATCAGAACAACTAGACACAAGAACAGTTTTTTCCCAAAAGCCATCACTCTACTAAACAAATAATTCCCTCAACACTGTTCAACTATTACAAGTCTGCACTACTATTACTGTTAATCTTCTCATCAACTATTACAAAGTCTGCACTACTATTACTGTTGATCTTCTCATCATTCCTTATCACCCATCCCCTCCTACTTGTGATTGTATGACTGTAACTTTGTCACTTGTATCCTTATGATTTATATTGACTGTTTCCTAGTATGATTTGAATGCTTATTTATACCCTATGACTATCATTAAATTTGGTACCTTATGATTCTTGATGAATGTATCTTTTCTTTTATGTATACTGAGAGCATATGCACCAAGACAAATTCCTCCTTTGTCTAATCACACTTGGCCAATAAAGAATTCTATTCTATTCTATTCTAGAATTTGTCATCAATACATAGGATTCCATTAATAACATTTGGCAGCTTTTCATAGTAAATGGCAAAGATCCTGCTCTGGATATGCACTTTGTCTTTCATTTATATTAATGAAACAAATGCTACAAATGTTAACAAAATTTAGATTGAATCAGAGCTAAATAATGATCCTAAACATTCATTCTCATGTGTCATCTACATTGATTTGGAGTGCTTGGTGCTCTCTTAGCTTGGTGGCTTTCTTGAAAACGTATAATTACCAAGCTAGGTAACATCAGTGCACTGATCATTGCCTAGTTTGGTAATGAAACACCTGCATCTGAAAACCACCAAGCTCAGGGAGCACCAAAGACCCCACAGTTCAACTGTGAACTGCAAATATTCTCTTCCATCAGTACATTGATGTGTTTGTATCTTGTGCCTTTTAGAGATTACAAACTGAGTTTCCAGGTAGAGAGATCCAGTTACATCTCATTGAAGCCCATGGGCATTTGGTTATAAAAGACACTTCTCCAGAGGGAGCTGTTAATATCCAAACTGAAATGAAGAAGTTGAAGGATTCATTCAAGTTTCTTGAAAGCTTAATGTCAAAGTAAGAGGTTCTTGCACTTTCATTTCAGGAGTTTTTTGAGCATAGCTATAGCTAGCTGGTGAAAAGAGAAAACAAAAGGATGGGGAATATGCAATTTCTGTACTGTCATTTTCTTCTTGTTCAATATTTAAAAGGGGTGTGCAGCTGTTTTTCAGATTGTAGGCTGTGCTGGCTACAGTTTATTTATTATTTATTTATTACATTTCCATCCTCCTGCATTCCCACTGGACCCTTAGCAGTGTTAAGAATACAAACATTAAGACATCAGAATTAATAAAATCCAGGAACAGAAAATGCATCAACCAAACACCAAAAAATTCAAAACATCCAAACCAGTACAAATGAAGAGGTATCAAGTCCCAAACATTCCCCCAAGAGCCTTGTTTTCAACTGCTTAGGAAAGGTAGCTAAGGTCAGGGCTAATCTAATAAGCTGAGGGAGCCCATTCCAGATGGCTGACATTGCTACCAAAAAGCAGCCCCTTTGTGCTTCATTTTTCCACACCTCCCAAAATGGGGAACCATCAGTTTTCCCGTAAGAACCAATATATTGAGCCAGTTCTAGTGCGTAAATACCATCCTGAACATAACTTGGTTCCAAGCCATAAACTACTTTATAAGTTAGAACACCAGCATGTTAAATGGACACCTGAATATCTATAGGGAGTCAGCGCAGGCCCATGCCTGGGTATAATATGCTTTGCCCAGTAAATATCAAATAATGCATAGGCAGTTGTGACTAACTGAAACATCCAACTAGTGATTAAATAATGATATATAGAGCTATTACAATAGTCTTGCCTGGGGTAAGGATAGAAGTCACTGCCGCCAGATCTTCTTACTCTTGGTATGGTCACAACCAGCATACCAGGTGAAGCTAAGGAAAGCACCCACTGCTGATCTAACATTACTGAGAGGTTGCCCAAGTCATGGGCCTGCTCCTTCAGAATTATTACTTTTCCATCAGGAGTAGAGCCATCTGAATACCTTGATGAACAAACTGTCTTGCTAGGATTCAGTTTAAGCTTGTTCTGTCCCATCCAGTTGTTCAAAATCTTCAGACAGTACAGCCTGGGTAGAGATGAATGTCATCACTTGAACTGATAGATAGCCTCACCCAAGGAATTCTTGTAGCTACCAAACAGTAGTGTGGAGAGATCCCTGTGGATCCCCACAAGGGAACAGCCAGCCAGTCAATTTCTCCTCTTCCACCACCATTGAATAGAAATGCCTACTGAGAAAGGAGCAGAACCACTATAAAAAAAGTGTCCCCAGCCCCCAACCTTTAAAGATGCTCCAGAAGGATATCACGATTGATGGTACTGAAAGCTGCAGAATGATCTGAAAGGCTCAGGGCAGGTACATTATCTCCATTCAGATCCCACTAGGAGACATCTGTTAACACGATTAAGACTGTCTCCATTCCGTGCCCTGGGATAAGCAATAACCAGCATCTGGAAGCAAGCCGGAAATACTGCAACACCCAGAACGGAGTGTTATATGAACATACCAAAGCATGCCCATCATTGCCTGTACTTCTGCTTTCTGAATTGGCTGAAACTTCAGGTGATCTTTGAAGGCAGCCCTATGTGGAATGTATTGCAGTCATAGGGCCATGAACTAACCCAAGGCATGAGTGACTTATCAAAAAGGCAGATACATATAAACACATTATGCTACATAACTTTTTTTTTACATAACTAAAAATCATAATCTTTTGTTAATGGTTTGTTCCTTTTTTAGCTTAGCCTAAATCAGATGAGTCCAACCTACAGCCCGTGGGCTGCATGTGTTCCTGGATAACTTGTAATGCAGCCACGCAAGATATAAAAAAATATTAAAATGAAAGGAAGTTTGTTATTTTATATACATTAACTAAATTATATTTTATATGTGGCACAAGACAATTCCTCTTCATTCAATATGGCCCAAGCAAGCCAAAAGGTTGCACACCAATGACCTAAATGATCCCTCCCTTTATAGTTTGTTGTTATGTGAGACCACTCTCAATTGTTCAGCAAATCATGGTTAAAAATCCTGGCCTGGTGATATATGTAAAGCAAAGCACCGAATCAGTATATTCACAAATGTTGTTTGTACTACATTAAGAATCTTCCCCTCTTCGGTTGTTATGTTGCTAATTTTAGTCTCTTTCCATCCAAATAGGACAGCAGTTGATGTGAATAAGAAGATAACCTGTTTAGAGAAAATGCGAGTTGAAAAAGTGGATGTTTCTGAGCACTTATTGGTGAGAAAACCATACAGGCTTAATGAAATATAGATAGTCCTCAGCTTACAGCTATTCCTTCAAAGTTACAGCGGCACTGAAAGAAGTGACTTACGAATCTTTTTCATACTTACAACCATTGCAGCAGCCCCACATTCGCCTGATCAAAATTCGGTTGTTTGGCAACTGGTTCATATTGATGATGGTGTACCAGGGTCATGTGATCACCTTTTGTGACCTTCTGACCAGCAAAGTCAATGGGGAAACCAGATTCACTTAACAACCGTTTTAGTCACTTAACAACTGCAGTGTTTCACTTAACAACTGTGGCAAGAAAGGTAATAAATGGCCTAAATTCACTTAACAAATACCTTGCTTAGCAACAGAAATTTGGGGCTCAATTACGGTCATAAGTCGAGGACTCCCTGTACTTCTGCTATCTAAAAGTTTAATTGGAATGACCATTCCATATTGGTAATGAGAGCTATTTATGATGTTAGTGTATCCTAGTTGAATTGGTTAATGCCTTGTTTGAGCAAAACAATTTCTTTCCTTTATCCCATTTCTACCACACATTCCATAGTAAAAAGCACGTGGCCTCAAAAACCTTGTGCTACTCACATAATTATTTCTAACCATCACAGAAAAGTTACAAAACTGCAGCAGGTTTTTAATTGGTAGCATTTCCAAAGGTCAGATGAAATACATTTTGCCAACTTCCTGAGTAGAAACAGGATTGGATGAGTCCTGTGGCTTCTTTGTCAAAATATTCTGGGAAGGTGATGCTTTGGGACTTCTTTATCAAAAATATAAGCTGTCTTAATCAGTACAGGCTCCCAAACTGGTGCTTTCTTTTCAGATAGCCTCTTCTCGTTGGACTTGATTTGTAATAACACATTGTTATTTCTTTCTTTTTAATCTTTGCTTCTATTCAGGATTGAAAGAGACTAAAATTAGCAACATAGCAACCAAAGAGGGGAGGATTTTTAATATAGTAAAGACAAGCTTTTCTTCCAGTAGTCTGTCACTGCAGGCCCTGGTTGCTTAGTCAGCAATCTTGAGTCCTTTAACTCATTTGTCATCCGACATATAGGAACTCCAACACCTAGCATGGTTCTTGTTGATCCAGGTGACAGTTGATCCGGTGTGGGTTTCTGTAAATTACCTCTCACCAAATTGTTTATGGAGAGACAGTCTTCATCCAGCTCCTCTGATGAGACCTATCCAGTATAAGTTGAGCCTCTGACATAGCTCTCATCTTCCTCAGAGCACATTTAGTAATAGTTATTTACCAGTGCAAGTGTATATATATATATATATATATATATATATATATATATTGTAAGATGTTACTTTTCAAAATGCTGTCATTTCTCCCTTAGCTCAATCTATCAATTCTTTTCTCTTCTGTACACTAAAAAGCCATTTATTTTCAGAAACTTTGTGTATATACGAAAGAGATGTTTTATTTTCTTGTTTGCATCTATATTGTATCTTATTCTTTGTTTTCTATAATTCAGAGGAAAGTGGCTAGGGGGGAAGATACCAATGAGCTCCAACTTATTAAGAACTTTGAACAATGGTTGCAAAGAGAAAACAACAAGCTATCTAAAATTCTTGCCTTGAATCCATCAAACAATGAAGAGGTCAAGGCAAGATATAGCAAGCTAAAGGTTAGTTCAATCCCAGAATTTCCATATTAACCTTGCATTTTGTTAACTATTGATGGCTGAATTGGTGGCTATAAAATGCATTGTTGGGGAGAAAAATTGTGGCTAGAGGCAAGCACTTAATTATAATCTAAACAGACCCATGAATCTGATCTGATTTTTCCTTCCCTAAAACGACCAGCCTCATTCTTAGATCTGATCCCCTGATCAATACAGATCCAAGAGTACCTCAGAGTCTATATTTTAAGGTACTTGAAAGACTTATAAATACTAAACATGAAGTACCAAGACAGGGAATGACATTGTATTATATGTTTATGCTTTAACATATTTGTGGAACTAGTAATCCTGTTTCAAATTTTTCTGCTTGAAAATACTTCTGAAATTCCTCCAGTGTATACTACTATTGGAGCTTGCTTCTGCTTTGCTGATATGCAGTGAGAATCTGCCATGAACTATGGAGAAGGGTGATGAAAGGGGGCATGCTTGGGAAAATGAAAGTAGATTCTGTGCCATCTCAAGAAGCTGCTTCAAGGTCACTCAGCTTGAAAAAGGAGGGAAAGGCATACCAGAGCACAATTGAACTGACCATTAGAAAAACAGTTCGCAAGGCTTTAATTGGTAACCTTGGGGTAGGAAATGAAAGTTAAGGACGGACAAGTATAACAGGGATTTTGGCTTACTGCAATACACTTTATCTCTAATAAAATATACGTTGGTCAGGAAATGGAGCCAAGGGTTATTTTCTAATTAGAGGTTTAGGTTTGTGCCAGGTCTGATACTATCCATAAATATAAATCCCTATATCTTTTATTGGCAGATCTCTCTTCATTCCCTCTATCAAAGATGATTAGGGGCCTGGATGCTAAAATATATAAAGAATGGTTGCTCGAACTGGGTATGTCTAGTCTGATGAAAAGAAGGACTAAGGGTGACATGATAGTAGTGTTCCAATATCTCAGGGGCTGCCACAAAGAAGAGAGAGTCAAGCTATTCTCCAGAGCTCCTGAGGGCAGGACAAGAAGCAATGGGTGGAAACTAATCAAGGAGAGAAGCAACTTAAAACTAAGGAGAAATTTCCTGACAGTTAGAACAATTAACCAGAGGAACAACTTGCCTCCAGAAGTTGTAAATGCTCAAGCACTAGAAGTTTTTAAGAAGAGATTGGATAACCATTTGTCTGAAGTTGATGTAGGGTATCCTGTCTAAGCAGGGGGTTGGACTAGAAGACCTCTAAGGTCCCTTCCAACTCTATTATTCTATTCTATTTTATCAAGCCTTCAACGTTAATACCTCTTTTCCCTACAGGAGCTTCAGTTAAGGGTCCCTGAAGGTCAATATCATTTTGAAGAACTTCTCCATCTTCAACCAGCTGGCCGGAACTGGGATGAACTAGAGGAATTGCGTTACCAATGGATGCTCTACAAGTCCAAACTGAAGGACTCCAATAACACATTGGTAAGTTTGATGATCTGGGGACAATGAAAAGCATGATTGTGAATGTCTTCAAATTATTCTGTACATTCTTAAATTTTATTTTAAAATTATTCTATACACTGCCTCCCGCCCAACAGAACTATGTTTAATATAAATCTGGTAAACCAACTCAAAAATTATCTAGGATCAAATATTATAGAAAATACAGAACAGTTCATCTCATAGTAGTTATGCAAAATCCTTGGCAGCTTTACACTAGTGGAACAGCAAATAGCCTTTTTATGAAAAAATCTTCCATGTTTCTTCCCTCAAAAATTTACTCTTATTTTGATTGTTTAGTGTTATGTATACACATTAAATAGCTGCCATTAGTATCTATACTTTCCAATGGAAAGGTGGAAAATACATGTCCCAGAAGTTTTTTAATACTGTAGCACTCAGCAGCCCCAGCCAGCATGGGCAGCTGTGAAAAATATTAATTTGCAACATCTGGAGGGATACAACCTTCTTTCCGTGATGGAATATGATTTGTATAACATTTCTAGCTTAGTACACTAAATTCATTCCAGTGGCTCCTCCTTGTAAACTAGAGGAATTATGGCATGTTACTATGCCTTGTTATTTTATACATATCATTTGGAAAAAGGTGAACAAGAGATGCTAAGTATATATTCTATGGCACTTTTGTTTAGTGTCCTCAGACCGAACACCACTCAGTTTGTTGAAATTGTAAACTTGAATTTCTTGGCCAGTTTTGCCTTTGGCTGGTCTGGTTCTAATCTTTGCTTTCTGATATTTAGAAAGTAAACCTTGTTTTATTAGGTGCAGAGTATTTTGTTTTTCTCAATACCCACGTTTGAACTAAACATATTTTAAAAACGGGAAAAATATGCCTAATAAGATAATACACGAAAAGGTTAATGTTCCTGCAAAGTAATATCATATCAGTAGGGGTCAGTAATACCTAAGTCATTTCTGTCTTAAACTGATGTCTGATTTAAATTGTTAAGAAACCAAACCATTTAGAATTTAAATGGTATGGTACTATAAAACTCATTAGATAAATTGCCTGCTCTTCTAAGTCATCCAAATGAAGACATTTTTTAAAACAGTATCCCACTCTGTGAAGTAAGTGTTGCACTTTAAATTGTACTAGGAACCTTTTTGATTAATGCTTTAAAAAATTGTGTCTTTTTAAGCAGATGACAAGCTATTTCAAAGAACCAAACCCATTCAGAAAGGTAAGGCTGTTTTTGTCCACAAGAAAAAGGTAGGAGGGATGTGTACATACCATACATACATACGTACATACCGTACATATATACATACATACAAACATACATAATATTGTATTACATATGCACATGTACATTGAAGTAAAATTATTTTGTTATGGAAAATATAATTGTTGAATTATTCCTTTAAATTGGATGGCAATTAGATGGCCATTATCTTTTGGTTTAGGTAATTATAGGTAATATAGGATATATTTCTTGATCACTGTTTCCAGAGTTGAAAAATAATGATGTTCTTGATAAAGACAAAATAATAGTTTGCATAGAGCTATGGAAAGTGTTAGTTTCTTTGGGTGTTTAAGTACATATAAAGTGTAGTGCAAGTTTGCCTTTTCTTAGACAAATAGGACTTTATCTCTTTGTTCGCAAAAGTTTATGCTGTGGATAGAAGAGGAACTAAATTAGACTTCAACAAATAGCTTGTCTGAAAAATTTCCAGATAAGTCGTCAATAACTATTAGTTCTCAGTAGACCAGCCATGTAATCCTAATACTTTAACATTTATAATTTCCATGTTAGCTTGGATTCATTATCTCAATAACTTCATCCTTTGTACTTCTGTGGCCATGTGTAAACTACTTTGGGGTAAATCATGTTTCTTAATGGTATCTAATCATTTGAAGAGTTTACAACCTGCCAGGGGTTAAGTAGGGAATTGACTGATGAGATAGTCAGTCCATGGGAGCTTGCAGACTAGGCATCTCCAAGAAGGTGCCGTAGTTGTGAAATTGAAGAGATCTGGAAAACATTAACTGAGAAAATTATTCAGACTGTTGCAATCTCTGATTAGTTAAGCCAGAGGCAGTCAAATTTGGGGGCTGGTATTCATATTTGAAAGCATATTGTGGGTCTCTCACAAGTTAGCTATTACATGGGGAATGTTATCTGAAATATTGCTAAAGTGGATGTGAATAACAATGCTGATGTAAGATATCCAAGGGCACATTGGTGCCCTTTTGCATTACGCCGCCTATCTGTGTTGATTCAGACAGAGATTCCTGTCTTAACTTTCATTCAGTGTATCATGCTTTCATACTTCTACCTCTAAGAGTACACATAGGAAACAGCAACATTGATCTTAACTATCCAGTCGCAAGCTCTGGTCAAACATCTCAAAATCCAATTATATGCATTACATAATGAATTTTCCATATGACAAAACCAAGTAGCTCCAGGTCATCTAATGTGGAATTCGCCCTCTTCCTTTTATCACATCTTTTATTTGCCTTCAGATTCATACAACTATTCATATAGGATAGCTCCCTTGAAGTTTTTATTCTATCTATTAGCCTACTTGCTTTGGATATTTGAGGGGGGGTGGGGTGTTCCTGGAATAATTTTAGATGATAAAATTTCAAAGCCTTTTTCAGGAAACTTCTTTTAGCTTCAGATAATTTATGGAAGCAACCAAGGCAGTTATGAAAGTAGTTAACAGCCTTGTTTTATTCCAGGATATAAGAAAATGCAAGAGATTCTTTAAAATGCTGGAGAGAAAGCTATTTATCTCTACCCCCAAACACTTTCCAGTGGCTTTTCCAATGCGTGGTTAAGATGTGAGACTATGATTAAGGAGCCCAAGATTCTAATATGCCTTCAGCCATAGAAACCTACAAAGTTTTGGATTCCCAACTATCCAAAGGGTTGTTTGATGCAGGGAAAATACAAGGAAGCAAATCCATGTGTGGAATATGAATCTCTTAAGTGTTATGAAAAAATATAAGAAAGAAATGCAATAAATCCAGTAAGACATAAAATGATTAGAGAGTATATATTCCCAGAATTCATTGTTTTTGCAGGATTGCTGGCAACATTCCTAATGGGGAAGCTGAAATCTAGGATAATTTCTTTCACATTTGCGTCTAGAATCATAAGCCAAGGAGTTTTAGATGCCTTGGCTTCAAATTACCTTTTACATATTGACTTGCCATCTACTGAGATATCGTTGAGTGTCTACTGCAAAACCACAATACACACACACACACACACATACATACACAGTCCAATTTTACTCATATTAAGGCAAATTATTTAATCTTAATATTTCTGTTAATTTGTTCATTTGTTTGGGGGTGAAGAATCTTCCTGGGATTGAAAGTGACCCCAAAATGATACGACATCTGAGAAATGGAGAACATGGGTTGTAAAATCTGCAGTTTTGTATATATTATTGCTCATTTTCAGAAGTAAATCCTGGAATTCTGCAGAGCTTATTCCTAGGTAACGAGGCATTAGATTTCATTCTTAATCAATGTACAAGGACTTAACAGAGAGTTATTTATTTCAACATTTTAAACAAGCCACAGATAATGTCAGGCCTTACATTCCTAGGGTGGATAAAAACTTGCTTTATTTAATTCTGGTTGGAAGGTTGCCAGATATTGAGACCAAAAAAAAATCTTATGAAAAGGGTACCAAACAAAAGTTCAAGGAACATTTCAAGGCCATTTTTCATTATTTATTGTAAGATATATGCATTTTATTTGGCTGTGTGGTTCTGGCTGAGAAGCAATAGTTGCATCTGCCTATAATAGCTAGGATTTTATTAAAAATAGAGGTGACCACGTGCAGTGGAGGCTTATGCAAGTTTAGTTGGAAATAATTTCCACTGAGCAAAGTTGTATGTATAGACTGAAATCCCAAGAGAGGGTTTGTACAATCCACCCATGTGAAATACAGTTGGGTAGTTTGTAAATCATCGGGTTGTGACAATTCAGCAGTTGGGATCAGGATACATGGTTCAGATTTAAAATATACACTAATGCAATTTTATCATAAACAAGAGACTAGAAGATTAAAATGAGAAATTGAAGATCCTGGATCCTGTGGCTTTTCCATAATTTGACAATGAGCAATAGTTCTTTGGCTTCTTGCATACCTCAGAGCATTGTAAAGACAAGCATAAAAATAATGAGCATTGAGTCCAAGTGTCAATGTATAAAAAAACCACCAGGAGTTACATGCAGAATGGCAAGAAATATAGTAGAGATTGTCATACATTGAGAACAATTTCTAGCACTTGCTGCATTGAAAACAGAGACTCTGGCACTTAGCTGCGGGTTGTTTTTTCCTCTTTTGAAAATAAGAACTTCAGCAATGATAGGAAATCTGTGATCCCTCAACTATGTCTGAATAAAATTCTCTGTACCCTGTATCATTGGCCATGTTGGCTGGGATTGCAGGAATTGTAGTAACAGAAGGTTAGCAAAGGGTTCCTGTAGAACCACAATCATAGGGTTAGCATTGTTTTGCTATCTTTTGTATTAATTTTGTAGGGGAATTAGCATAGATAGCTATTTATATCACTTTGTTATACAGTATGTCTTATTGTATTAAATCTCACTGTGTACTTAGTAACACCCCACCCAACCAACCACCCACCCGAGAGCAACAAGCTGAGAGGCTTCTTTTCTTGGCATTTCAGTGAGCTTCATGCCAGTTTTGAAATACGTTCTTTAACCACAAGAATTGTGTTCTGATGTATCTAGAGACAAAACTTAAGGAAGGTTAATGAAGACCACTCTTCTCCAACCGTTGTCCTCTGGAAGTGTTTAATCTGTGAGTTTTAGAACACACAGCTGAAATAGCCAAAAGATTGAGGCTGAAAGTTCTGGGAGTCAGCATTCCCAGAGCTTCTGAAGAATGCTGGGTAGAAGAGGCTGACGTAGACAACTCTAATCTAGTCAGATTAAGGGAATGGCTTGGTATAAAGCAGCTGGTTGTAAACCTGAAAGTCCTTGTTATACAGGTAATCCCCAACGTACAACTGTAATGCTGCATGCAAATTGTGACAGTTTTAAACAAGGCAAGCATGGACTGCCTCACCTAATGACCCCAGTTCTTGTTTATGGGGTTTGTGAACTCCAGATTGATTATACAGTATGGAGGCAACATGGTGCTGTTCCAGAAGCAGGTGCCATTTTGGAGAAGCCAGAATTCATTGCAGCCAGTCCCAAAATGTTGCCATTTCTGGGACAGCACCACATGGCCTCAATGTAGGAAGACCACACAGCAAATTGCCTACTTCCCAAAAGAGATCTATGGAAAAGATAAATGACTGAGCCATAATGAGGGTGTTGTGGGGGGGGGGGAACAGTGTGGGACCCAGTGTGTTGGGAAACAGGCTCAAGACCTGGGGGACCCAGTGGAATGGGATGGGGGGATGTTAGGTGGGGGGACCACTGTAGCATCCCCGTGGTTGGTCATTAAGGCATACAGTTTGTCAAGCACCGAAATTTTGTTCGCATTACTGCAGGGGTGCAACAGCAGCTGTAACTTTGGACAGGGATTGTAAATTCTTTTGTTCGGTGCCATTGCAATTTTGAACAGTTGCTGAATGAACAGTCATAAATTAAGGACTGCCTGTATTGCATCTAACCTTCCCCTGGTCATTCCCCCGTGTTCATTTAAACTTGCTGTGTTCACAGGCCTTCGAAAGGAGGTCTTGGCTTCAGATAGTGCAGTTCTCTGCTCACATCGCTAAACTAAGAAAGTAACATTTTGAATGAGTCTCCAATTGTAATAAGCATATGTGCTTCCTACTCCTAGATCTTGCAGCGGCATCACAATGCTGAAGTTGTGACAGCCTGGGCATTTCCATGGTAACTGGCTGAGTTATTAACACAAGATAACAGGCTCTGCTGATGATCTGGCAAAAACCAAGGGAGAGGGTGGGAGGCCAAGTATTGCAGGAATGCTAAATTTGTAAAGACTTTTTTTTTTCTGTGGGTCTAACTTTGGGGTAGTAGAGATTGGTTAGAAAGTTACATCCTGAGGGCAAGACACAAGTAAAAAGAACATTTCTGTTTATGTCCTATCTTTCTGTGCAAATAGGTAGAAGTATGGAGATATATAGATCTCATCACAGGCATGTTTTGGAATAAGACTGAAAATCAATCAGGGCTCACAAACTATATTAAAAACCAGTTACAGATTAGACTCATGCTACA